CTGGGGAAAATTTTATGTTTATTTAAATATATCTTAATAAAAAATGTTCCGAATAAACTAGAGATTTCACTTGCAAGTTGCTTTGACGTTCGAAATGTAAACTTAATCAAAAAACTTTGGCAAAAACTGGAAATGGTAGCGGCTATTAATTACATTTCATGCCAACAATTAATTGCCTTAAATAGCCAAAATGAAAGGTTTTTAATTTAAGTGAGCAAAATTGTAGATATGCATGCCTTCGACCATTCACATGTACGTAAGTAAGTACGTAGTATGTATGTATTAAATTTGTACTACAAATTTGCCGTTGAATGTGCTACATCGATTACGGCGAATAGAAAGTAGCGAAAGGGGAAGAGTGTGTGTAACTCAATCAAAAAATTAATTTACATTTCAACTCAAATTACCGCATTAAAATCGAGCACTGTACAAACTAATAGTAGTAGTAAGTAGGTGCATGTGTGGTCTAAAGTAGTTCTCTAAGCTCACATATCGTACTAGCGCTCAGCACAGACCAGACCAAAAATTGCATTTAGTTAAACACATCAAAATGCAATTACTCAACACAACGTAATTATACATTTTTCAAAACATTAATTGGACCCACTGTGCGCTAGCCGAGTAATACACTGTACCTTGCCGCACCGCTTCAATTGACTAAATGGCTGGTTACACATGGTATGTATCATTTGCCTAGTATTTTTAATGAAATATGTAGTTCCATGGAAAAGGAAATCCATTTTTGAAATCCGTCGAAGTCGGCGCAATTCGCCTACTTGCCACCAACGATGAGTAAAGCGGGCAACAAATAGCACCCGACGCGACTTTGCCTCACCCGGCTACTCTGCCAACTAACTCTATATGAAGAACATATCATTAACGCCACCCTGACATGCGCTCTCCTAACTCACCTACTAACCTTTTTTTTTGCCAGCCAGCTCGCAGTTAGGAAACTCTTTCAAATTCGAAGCGTTGCAGCAGCTAATGACTTCCTTGCATGTCACAGGATATTTTCTCTGGGCAAATAGCTAAGGAATGACTGTTAAAACTAGCTGCTTGCCACCCAACGATGCAAATGTGTGTGTGTGTGTGTGAACTTTTTGTTTTCTGACGAGGTCGTTTGTGGGTGAGCATTTAAAATAGCACTGTGCGCAGCGAAAAACAAGCGGCGTTTAAGAATTTTTATTGCGCCACATTGTAAATATGACGCGACTAATTGAATGCCGTTTGTTGCAATGCACAAATGTTCATATGAATATGTATTAAATAAAGTATACCCTGCTGGGAAGTTTTTGGGGAAAAGAATTTTTGATTCAGAAATATGTAGTACGTCTGTCAAAACTTCGAGTCACTAGCGATTAAGGCCATCTGGGGGACAGCTTGTGTCCACTAATTGGATGAAAGTTTCTTATTTCAGCTTAAAAGCAATTTGAAAAAATTTTAAAATTTAAGTAATTGCCGACTTCAAAAAACAGGCTTGCAAAATAGCTAAATAACCCTGGCCTGACTCTAGCAGTACGCAAGCGTTAGACCAGCTTAACAGATCCATTACGGGGCAGACAGCTAGTAACACTAGTAGCAGACCTTTTAGGAGCTCCCATAAGTGAAACGGATTCATTGGTGAATCAAGGTGATTCGTCAAAGCAGCGTAGGATCTTGTTTGATTGGTTTAAGTGGATTGCCATCTGGTGCAAGTTTACTATTTTCTTTCCACAAATCGTGCAACCTACAACCATTTGGCGACATAAATGAATTTCAGTACGTTATACAGAGATCGGCAGCCAAAATACACTCAGAAATATTCTAAAGGAATGGTTTGCCGAGAGTCTTTAGCCTCATTCACAGCAAGTGTTCGACTGTCTGTTTTGATCCCGGATCATCGAAACTACGACCGAACCTATTGAAGGGCATTGCAATCCTTTCGGCAGGTACCTCAACGGACCAATGCCTTGTGCACACTGCAGTAAGTTTATAGGTGTCTTCTTTGCTCAGTACTAAGAGAGATTTGGTTTTGCAATGGTAAACGATACTGAACGGTTCCACCTCTGCTTGGCCTTCGAGTGATAAGATTCGGCGACGCATGTCCTCCGCGGGGGACACATTCATTGATCTCTCTCTCGTCTACAGTAATCCACTAGTTGAGATATAACAGACTTAGAAGAGAGAGCCTGAATGGCCGCTTGGTTATCCGAGATTATATTCACCTGCGTTCTCGCGGGTACATTCTCTTTGATGTACCTTACTGCCTCTTTAATTGCAAACGTTTCAGCCAGGAAAACGCTTGCATAGTCTGGTAGCCGATATAGTAACTTGTTTTATATTGCTAAATGTAAACCCCTGCACCAAGCCGGCATTACATCTTTGATCCGTCCGTAAAGATAATTGAGCTCTACAAGAACTGCACCTTTCCTTGAGTCCAGTCACTGCAGCTTGTTAAGTTCTCGCGGGGTTCGTGGTGAACCCAAGTTTTCGAGGGGATATTGGCAGCGCTTTAATTTCAGGCACTAATGAATCAAGGATAGAACCGTGTACAAACGGTCTTTCTTTTCGGGGCCCCAAGGTACGCAGACTGATGGCGGTGTTAGCAGCTGAATTTTCGAGAAAGATATCAATTGGCAATAAATCAAAAAGGACGGCCAAATCATGCTTCGGACAAGATCTCATTGCACCTGTTACGCCAGTAGCTGCTGCCTTTCAATTCCGCTTAGTTTTTTTGCCACGTAATCCCTACCGGCTGACCACTAGACAAGCGGGCTATAAGAGAGTATGGGACATTCTCATAGAGAGTCACCGATGTCTTTCTTGCACGCATGGAATGTACATAAACAAAACATATTCCACGAATTGTGCATAAAAATGGCCCCAGTTGTATACGGGACAGATTCTAGGAAGGACTGCAACCAACCAACCGGGTAGCTCCTGCTATATGAAATGATATTATCATTAGTCCTTGAGTGCGTGGGGAAATTTGACTGCTTTAGTTGGCGTAAAAAGATCCAGTTGGCATGGGAACCAGGCCACAAGGAAGTAGAGGGAAATAAGGTAGCTTAATATCAAGAGAGACGGCAGTTGTCACTCCACAATTGGATCCGATCCTTCGCTGGGTATATGTCCTCATACGATTAAGGAAGAAATCAGGAAAGAGAGAAAAGCCTTGAGAGATTTTTTAATTGGCAAAGTTTAGTAGGATAGCGACAGGCTAGGATTCTACTGGGGGGATATATAGGTCGTGGTGGAAACTTCGTTTCCTAAATCTATCACCAAGTGGATTTTCCTACCGGGTATAAAGTAGAAACCATAGTACAAGCTAATCACTTGGGTGGTAATGCTGATATATGACCATTTCAACGAATCGTTTGTAGTTGGTCGGTGGGTATGTCGTAGTCGTTGATTTCTTGATATTGCGCAACATATGATTAGTGAAAGGCTATGTTTGGGGGTGGCTGAGGTTGCTGAGTTTATATTGAAGGTGGTCAAACCAGTGTGTGAGTTTCGAAATGGGATATCTATGGGAAATACCTAATTAAATTGTAATTACCCGTTTTACGCTGAGTGCTCAGTCAAATTGAAATTTGAAGTTATACAATTACCTTCGAACGAATGAACGTTAATGGACTTTGAAGGATAATCGATTTGTTGAGAAAAGAAACAATCATTTGTCATTCATGTTAATTCGGTTGTCTTGGCTTTATTGTGGTGAGATAAGCATAAATATAATAGTAACTTTTTCATGCGCTCGTATTAGTCGGAAAGCTCTAACAGGCGTTTTCAAGGAGGTAAATATGTATTAATATTGACAAATGAATATGATTAAAGGACAATTTTGTCAGACTGAAATTACAAAAAAAGAACCAAAGATATTACTTGGCTGAATATAAAATCAATATTGTATATTTTTCGAGCTCAAGGTCACATGTTTGGTCGAGCAAATATAGCCAGAAGTTGTTTAGGATGACTGAAGTCGAAATATCCACAAATAATGATGGCTGCTTCTGGAAGATCACCTAAACATTATTGTCTTTCACGCAGGTTTTATAATATGAGGTTGGGTTACCTGACCGCTTGGAGTTCAGAAGACAGTGGTCAGATAAGCATTACACTAGTAGCCAGAGCTGTACTCTGTATACCTTTAAAAGCTCCGTTGATCGCCCCGGTCTAATTGAGTGATACGTATAGGAACCTAACTACATTATAGACTCCCAGAATACACCTCTAATAATAAAGGGAATAATTTACTTCTAGCCAGCATCGATGTGCAGCAAGCGACTCCAGCCGAGATGAGTTCAACTCTTCTTATAATTAAGGATTTCCAGTAGTTAAAAATAAGCCAGTGTCTTTAATCCTAACTACAAGCGGACAGCGGAGGTACAACCTCCAACCTTTTTTATTTTGCTCTTAAGGTGGCGCCTTTTGCAAGGTCGGGGGATGTATTGAGTTTGTGAAGTCGACAGGTTTGGCGTTTCCACCTCTGACGATTGCTGCTTCTGCTCCGGTTTATTCATAGCTTGCTGCCTTGGAGGCACAAAAGTGGATTCCGAGCAGCACGGTCATCAATGATTTTGGGCTTTATAAGAGAAAGTTTTACTGCAAGGACATAATCTATATATGACTGGCTAACGTAGTACCATTTATTTCAAAATCGAAGTACAGATGACATTCGGAATTACGGTTTTTATCGAGCTGTCCTCACCGTATCGTTGAGTAAAATCAGCGGTAGCTCTCGCAGGATGTAATTTCGTGATGTCGGTCTGAGCTATCCGCTTTCTCTTATCAACAAATTAGTTTTTGAATCAAGAGTACTCTCTTTTGTGCCTGCACTCAACTAGTTAGACTCTTTGAAAGCTTTTTCTTAAAACTTCTTTTTTCGTTAGTATATGTAGCGGCAATTCGAGCTATTAACATACCGAAAATTTTATCCTTTCTAAAATAAATTAGCGCCTTCTAAATATTTACTTTATTTCCTTACTAACTATACTAAAAATGTCCATTCTCATTCACAGCCAACGATGACGCCACCGATCTCCGTTGCAACATGTCCCTGGCGCATCTGCGCAATATGGATAATCACATGGCATCAATGCTGCAGCAGTCAACACACCACAAGCATGTCACATTCCCCAATATGCAGTCGCCACCAGGCGCACATCATCATCAAAATGCTGTTGGCTTGCATCTAGGTACGCCCCCACCGCCGCCTCAACACTCTGCGTCGCATCATCCGCACCAAGCACTCAACTATCACAATGCCTTGATGAGCTTTCCACATCAAAATATCACTTCTAGTGGTGGCGGCGGTGGCGCCAATAGTCATTTAAACTACCCGCCACTGGAGTCCGGCAGCACCGATTCGGGCAGCACACGCACCAGTCCGTCCATGAGTAGCGGTGATTATCTCAATTCGATGCATCAGATGGTCGAGGCGAGTCATCTGCAAGCAGCGCTGCAACACCATCCGTCACACCCGCATCATCAACCATCAACGGGACCGCCTCCGCCGCCACATTACAGTCACCAACAGCATTTGGCCGCTTTGGCAGCACACGCTCAAGCGCAGTCGCAGTCGCAACAGGAACAGAAATTTGCTAAATCATCGTCGTCACCAACGACATTTGCCAATCAGTCATACTTTAGTCTCGCCAATGGCTCCGGCGCACTTTGCAGTGGAGGTGCTGTTGCCGGCACGGCTATTGGTAGCAATCACGCCAACCTGCTTGATTACGATGAGCACTCAATGTCTTCAATTTCGGCGAGTGGCGAGATCGATGCGGGCGATGATGAGGATATGAAGGACGGGCAAGGCGACATATCCGGACC